CAGAGAGATGAAGAGAGACAGCAGATGGCACATCCAACAAGCAGCAACCAACACAGCCAATCGTTTCCAGATGCACACCTACAAGCCATTCAAACAACATCGACCGCAGAGGCTTAACTGCTCTCTGAAACCCAAAAGAAAAAAAGGACCTGTAAGGTTGAAAAGCGTACACTTTGCTTTTCCATAATAGCAGGAGAAGCAGTGAAATATAGAACAGAAATAGTAGGACAATCATAATTTTCTGATATCTCAGATAAATTAAATATTTCGGTCAATCCCCCAATTATTAGTCTTTAGAGATTTTTCTTAACAAATAAAAAACAGAAACTGATAAAGGGAAGGTCCGAACGACGCCTTTGAAGACGTTTCTTTTATTGTACAGAGATAGTTAGGGTGATAGGGCCTTTAACACTTATATTTTTCGTCAGTCTCTTAAAGGCACATGGAAGAATGGAGAATTTCTCTTGAGGCTTGAAAAAAAAAAAATTGGAAGGAGCAAATTAACATACCAAAATTTCTCGACCTAAAAGTAAAGAAAATGTCCAAAAAACACCAACGCTTTCGTGTTGCTACTGCAGCTGAAACGTGCACCTCCTCTGCATGTTGTGTTGCTGATNCAGCAGATGGCACATCCAACAAGCAGCAACCAACACAGCCAATCGTTTCCAGATGCACACCTACAAGCCATTCAAACAACACCGACCGCGGAGACCCAATGGTTCTCCACAGTTTCTACATGTACGGTATAAAGACAAAGGAAGTCAGATAAAAACATTAATGCTCTCGTGTTGCTACTGCAGCTGAAACGTGCACCTCCTCTGCATGTTGTGTTGCTGATATCCGGATGCCCTATAAAAAAGCCAGAGCGAAAAACTGTCAGCAGCAGACGATAAGCATTACTCCACACATACACCTCCAAAAAACACTTCGAGGTTGTAAGGGAAGCGAAAGAAGAAAAGAGGCAGAAGGGTGGGTCTATACCCTCGGCGTCGAGGAAAGGTGGAAAGACCTTCACCGCTTCTTCATTCCTAACCAGGTGTCGTCGTATATCTATTGCAGCGTAGAATGATAGCAGCACTGCTACCCATCCACACTCTACGCTGTTGTGGACGGTTTCTACGAAAATGTTGCACCAATTCCATTTCGTTGCCGTTGGGACCACTCGGAAGCAGACATCCCCCAAAGTGCCCTATATCACCCGTAGTGCGTCGAGTGGAATGTGTGGGTGCCCCCCCCAAAAAACCGATGCGCCCTGTGGCTGATCCTCAATCCATCGCCTCCTCATTCTCGTCAGAGATAAGGAACAAAAACTAGAAGGTATCAGTGCTTTTGGAAGAAAACAAAACACGAACCAAACCACCATTCTGCAGCGCGCTCACGATCACGCTATTCAAAAGGCAACACCAAAGGCGGTGAGCAGAGCAACCCACAACCACAACAGCGGGGACAAGAGTGTCAGAGCTCTCCTGTCACCGCTGTGGCCGTCTGATTTGCCCTTGCCCACCAATGCATTGCAGACCTCGGCGTAAGTGGGGCACACAATCCTTCCGCGTACAAACGTCTTTTTTGGCGTAATGCTGCTGCCAGCAGGACATGGGTACCAGGTGTTGTCGCCAAGGTACCGCACACTCACCTTGCCCTTCTTACACGACACCTCTGCGCACACGTCCTTGATAGACTCAACACCATCATGGAGGCTGTCCCCTTTCAGACACCTTGATGACGGACCAATGCGGCTCCCTGGCATTGAGGCTGCCTTTCCGTTTGCGCAATAGGTATCTGTAAACGGCTCAATGTATGGACACCGATCCATCAAGGCGCCAGCATGACCGCTTTTTTTGGAATCCACGAAGTACTGGTATTGTTTGGGTAGAGGCTGAAGGTATGAGACAATTAAACAAAATCCCAATGCGAGACGGTCAGATGTGCAATACGCATTGTTCTTATAATTGTCATTGCAAAACATATTCGGGTATGCGGTGATGCCAGCATTCAAGCACTTCTTGGTCAACAGATCGCAGCCGGAGTTGTAGCCCCAGCTCATCTTCTCTGCCTTGTCCCAAGCGACTTGGTAAAAGCCCATGTCGGCGAACGCTGCTAACGTCAACGCCGTGTAGTAGCCGGCCCCTGCGATGCCAGCCATCAACTCATCCTTTGCGTTGCGCCGCTCCCAGTGCGATCGCGCCGTCCCCTCTCCGCCCTCATCCTCCAGCTCCATTCCGGGTGCAGTCGGGCAGTTGTAGTGCGATCGGGCCTTCGCCCGTGTTGTGGGAGATGACACCACAAGTACACCGCGTTTACCCCGCACATTCATGACCGACGACAACATCCCACGGTCCATCATCATGTCATCGTTAAACCCGAGTGCGTGAGCAATCTCATGCGTAGAAACCCGAACACTGTAATCTGAAGCGGAGACGGATTGCGGACCAAAGTTCATTGCACCCACAACGGGGCGACCAGCACGCAGCTGGACACATGTAACGGCCCACGCGAGGGTTGAGCCTTCTGTCGGGCCAGCTGCAGCGTACAGCACCATGTCCGCACCGGACACACCTGCCGTGTGGTGGCCAGCTGGCACTGTAAATTCGGCGCAGATACCTCCTGGGAAATTTGGGACGATTATGTTCCCAGTCAGTGGCTGCACACGTAGGCGCTCCACGTGCATATTGACAGCTGCGGGGAGAACGTGCTTCACGATGGCTGACTTCTTATCCGCTGTCAAGACGTCACGCGCCTTGCACACAACTCTTCCCCCGGCGAAGTCAGGGGCCGTCTTTCCCGCCGCGGTGCAGTACCTCGACGCGATGTTCATGTCCTCCGTGAAGATCTTGAAGCGAATGGGGGCCCATCCAGACACAGCTGCAGTCAGAGCCTGAACTGCGCTTTCCCCTCGACCCGGCACCTCCCGCACCAAAGATATCATTGGGGGACCTGCCTTCCTCTTGATCTGATCAAATATGCAGCGGTGCTCCGCGCTGCAAGTGGAGCTGAGCAGCAGCAGCAGCGCTGTCACGAACAGCAAGTGACGCATCTTCGTATGCATGTGTGTATGTGTGAGTCGCTTAGTGTAGGGCGTGCAGGTAGGTACTTCCTTGCGGCAGTGTGCCGAGCACAGAGAGATGAAGAGAGACAGCAGCTGGCACATCCAACAAGCAGCAACCAACACAGCCAATCGTTTCCAGATGCACACCTACAAGCCATTCAAACAACGCCGACCGTGATACCCCTCCGTTCCCCTGTTTCCACAAATAATTTACAAAACCCGAACAATATGCATGTTGTATATGCATACGAAGATAGTACTTACATCGATTCGTATATTTTCCAAAACAGCACAAGTACATTGCACGTGTAGAGTCCTCGAAAGGATAAACTGAAAGAGAACAGAGAGGTAGTGCGGACACAGGTATGGTCGGCTGTCATTTTCAATGATACGACCGTTTACGCGCCTGAGAAAAAAAAAGATTTTTTTTTTGACATTATATAGCGCATGGGAATAGAGAACCAAATTGTCAAGTTTTATAAAGAGTGGGATAAACATAAAAAACTGGTTTTGTTTGTGGTTCAAAGTACATGATTGTTGAAGGTAACACCCTAGCAACGTGAAGAGAGTTCGATCATGACCAATAGATACAGTGGTGGCAAATAGGCAGATTTCCTTCCATCCCTATCGCCTTCTCTCTCTTGTTGCTGCCTTTCTCAAGGATAGTGGAAACCTTGGATGATTTCTGGCAAAGGCTCCTGTTGATTTCTTGTATGACATGTATAGTATAATCTCATGTACAAAGGGTGATACCGTTCCTTTTCTCGATGTACACGACACTGGCCCAAACGTGTATACTCCAAACACGTTTTGTGGTCTTGGACTTTAGAATGCCACTGCGGCAAAGAAAACCAACGAAAAAAGAACAATTGGCACAGAAAAAGATGAACGTATACCCACATCTGTCTCTTCGTCACTTCTGTTATTGCTCTCACCGCTTTCACCATCCGTGCTGCTCCCTTGAATTTCACTTCCTTTGTCACTGCTGTCCTCTCCCACCAATACATTGCAGACCTCGGCGTAAGTGGGGCACACAATCCTTCCCCGTACAAACGTCTTTTTTGGCGTAATGCTGCTGCCAGCAGGACATGGGTACCAGGTGTCATCGCCAAGGTACCGCACACTCACCGTGTCCTGGCTACACGACACCTCTGCGCACACGTCATTGATAGACCCAACACCATCATGGAGGCTGTCCCCTTTCAGACACCTTGATGACGGACCAATGCGGCTCCCTGGCATTACGGCTGGCGTCCCGGTTGCGCACCGGGTATTGGAATACGGCTGAATAAACGGGCACAGATCCATCAAGGCGCGAGAAGGGCCGCTTATTTTAGGATCCACGAAGTACTGGTATTGCTCGGGTAGAGGTTCAGTGTATGAGACAATTAAACAAGATCCCAATGCAAGACGGTCAGATGTGCAATACGCATTGTTCTTATTATCGTCATTGCAAAACATATTCGGGTATGCGGTGATGCCAGCATTCAAGCACTTCTTGGTCAACAGATCGCAGCCGGAGTTGTAGCCCCAGCTCATCTTCTCTGCCTTGTCCCAAGCGACTTGGTAAAAGCCCATGTCGGCGAACGCTGCTAACGTCAACGCCGTGTAGTAGCCGGCCCCTGCGATGCCAGCCATCAACTCATCCTTTGCGTTGCGCCGCTCCCAGTGCGATCGCGCCGTTCCCTCTCCGCCCTCATCCTCCAGCTCCATTCCGGGTGCAGTCGGGCAGTTGTAGTGCGATCGGGCCCTCTCCATTGTTGTGGGAGATGACACCACAAGTACACCGCTTTTACCCCGCACATTCATGACCGACGACAACATCCCACGGTCCATCATCATGTCATCGTAGAACCCGAGCGCGTGAGCAATCTCATGCGTAGAAACCCGAACGCTGTAATCTGAAGCGGAGACGGATTGCGGACCAAAGTTCATTGCACCCACAACGGGGCGACCAGCACGCAGCTGGGCACATGTAACGGCCCACGCGAGGGTTGAGCCTTCTGTCGGGCCAGCTGCAGCGTACAGCACCATGTCCGCACCGGACACACCTGCCGTGTGGTGGCCAGCTGGCACTGTAAATTCGGCGCAGATACCTCCTGGGAAATTTGGGACGATTATGTTCCCAGTCAGTGGCTGCACACGTAGGCGCTCCACGTGCATATTGACAGCTGCGGGGAGAACGCGATTCACGATGATGGACTTCTTATCCGCTGTCAAGACGTCACGCGCTTCACACACAACTGTTTTCCCAGCGAAGTCAGGGGCCGTCTGTCCCGCCGCGGTGCAGTACCTCGACGCGATGTTCATGTCCTCCGTGAAGATCTTGAAGCGAATGGGGGCCCATCCAGACACAGCTGCAGTCAGANAAAGATATCATTGGGGGACCTGCCTTCCTCTTGATCTGATCAAATATGCAGCGGTGCTCCGCGCTGCAAGTGGAGCTGAGCAGCAGCAGTAGTAGTAGAGTGCACGTTATGTGGCGCATCTTATTATACATATGTAAATGTATATGTATACGTATTTATCAATTTATCTTTTGCTTGTGTCTGTTTGTCTTTAAGTCAGAATCTGTAAGAAGAAATAGTGTGCCGTTGATGTGATAAGATGAGTGTATCCAGAGCATTTTGTTTCGGCTCGGTGTCCAACAGGTTTTTTTTTGCTTTTCAACACAGTTGAAAGTGTTTACTGCTATATGATCTTTCGTTTGCTATGTGTGCACCGGTGTTTTAATTTTTTTTTTCCCGTATTCGTGATGATGTGAAGTCGTTGAGGTGGATTGCCAAGGTGGATAAAACATCTGATGTAGCACCTGCAGTATTTTTTTCTTGTTGAGGAGGCAATTCCCACTAAAGGAATGATGGCAGACTATTTATTTTAACGTCGTTTTTTTTTCTTTGAAGCTTGGTAGCGTGTGCCTCTCTACAGTTGTTACTCTTTGTTGTGTACAGAGATGTGGTTAGCTTTCGTTCGTTTAGCGGCAATCACAAGAAGTGTCCCCGACGTTTGTCGGGTACTCTTTGCCCTTTTGTGACTTAAATGTGCACATACATGTATTATTGATCATGACGCTCTCTTTCCACAGGCAGTACATCTCAGACAAGCAGTTTTTCCCCCCTTTTGCGGTTTCATAATTTCAGTACAGATTCACTCCCAAAACTGCAATCCGCCTCCTCCTTTGTAGTGCAGGTGAACTTGGCAGACATTGTGCCCTTTGGTGTTTTGAGCAGAAACAGCTCCACCTATGTTTGATGAATACATAAAGAGTTTCTTTTCGTTGCTTTGTTTTTGTAGATCGGCGCCACCAAGCAGAGACTAAGTACTTGTATGAATCACGCACACTTGAAGGTTACACTTTAGTTTGCTTTTTTTGTATTGTTTTATCCCTGTCACCTGAGAAGTGGTCAAAATTGGTAATTGACCGCACAGACCAAATATAGGTAATGTTATATTGATGTAGCTGTCTCTTGATAGTTGAAAAGGATACAGCAACACTGAATCTCTAATTGCTATTTTGTCTCCAAATATTCCACAATAGTGTTCCAGGAAAGGTTTTTAGTTTCACTTTTCTTCAGCCTGATAATATTCCCGACAACTTCATGAAACAATGAAAATTGCATTACTTGTCGCCATCCCGTCTCTTCTTCTTGACAAGTCATATTTACATATTTTGATTTACGTGGTCCAAATGAGCACAAAAAATCAACATAATCATAGTAGCTATCATCTAAAGGGAGCGCCCTTTTAAATCTACACCATTCAAAGTGAACGACCGAACCAATCTTGCTTAGTGTAGCCATTTCAGCCTGCGCAAAAGTACGGATCCCTTTCCCAACGCTTAGTGTTTCATTACATGAACACAATGAGCCGACAACTACTTCCTCAAACACCCTTAGAGCATTCCACTGCTTCACGCACTGTCGGTGGAGCTGAATGGCACCAAAGCTAGGCATTTGTTGTTTTACTTTCTGAATAGCTTCTGTTGATGCAGCCATGTGCTCCCTCATTTGCAGTGTTTTCGTGTGAAGGGTTTCCATAGTCCGGTGTAAGGATTCTATACTACTATTCATTAGCGAATGGAGTGTTTCCCTATTCGAGGTGGAATCACCCAATTCTTCTCGCAAAGTCCTTATCAGCGGCAATCCAGAGGAAAAACTTCTCGCTGCAGAACCGTTTGCTGGGTGAAAACTAGAGGATGCTCTAACTTCATTCATCGATACACTTTGTGATGAGTGAATTAAAGGGCTGCGTAAAAATACATTTGCACCCCCTTCAAGATTTCCCCCTATAGGGGAAACCGGCATTCCGTGCAAAATGATCCCCTGAATTGTCTTTAGCG